AAGAATTAAAATAGTTAATGAAATTTTAACAAATGTTAGTCGTGGCCGCGGTGTAGCTTTTGGATTGGCACCCGGGGTAGTTTTCTATTGAGCTCCCATACCTTATTCCAAAATAAGACATTTTGCTGAAATACTCAATTACATTATCAAAGTTTACTTTCTTTTTCATTGGGCAAAAGGGAAAGGTTGGGTTGGCTCATTGTAAATAAGTAGCAAAAATCATAGACACAGTTTAGAATAGTCGAATTTTGCAATTAATCTCTGAAGTTTTAGAGTAATCCATTGGAGAACCACTTAGTGCTGATCTTTCAATTAGCGCCGCAGTCGTAAAATCACCAAAATAATGTCCTCTCTAGAAAATTCACTATAAATTTTTGTCAAATGATTCATGATTAGGGTTGCAAATTGTTCACAAAAGTGAATTTCGACCACTCAAAGCAAAGATGTTAACAGTTTCGAGCTCACAGTGACTGATAGGGGGGAAGAACTTGCATTATATATAAAAGAAATTATGAGTGCTGTAAGCACAGTCAGTATTACGTATATGAAAGGTAGTATCAGCAATTTCTTAAGCTGAAGTGTACTATGTGTTGCATACCTATTTACAAACAATTCCTTTCAATTTTAATCATTGATTACTATGTATCTATTAAAAAACCATGATGGCCGACATCAGTGACAATGCGACAACAATTGAAAAAGAATGATGGCCGACAACTGCAACAATTGAAAAAGAATGATGGCCGACAACAGCAACAATTAGAAAATAATGATGGCCGACATCGGTAACAATGCGACAACAATTGAAAAAGAATGATGGCCGACAACTGCAACAATTGAAAAAGAATGATGGCCGACAACAGCAACAATTAGAAAAGAATGATGGCCGACACTACGTCATAGTATTGTTCACAAAGGTGAATTTCGATCACTCGAAGCAATTGTGCTAACGGTTTCGAGCTCACAGTGACTAATAAGGGGAAAGAACTACTCTTCTTAAACAAAAATTTCACATCTAAATCTTTACCATCGTCGGAATTATGTGTATCCTTAGAAATTTCTGCCTTAGGGCTTTTTGATACGAATTTAGCGGAATATATACGCAGATGTAATCAAATTTGTTTTTAAATTCCTCTCCACATGCATTCATAGAAAATGTTTCCAATTATGGGGTCAAGGATCAATGCCGCAGCATACACCCAATCAATTTCAAAATTAAGTTTTATCACCTAATGCCGACCTGCTGTAACTATTAGTAGAAATGGCGCACATTTTTTTTTTTTTGAAAACGCTAGTCCTAATATCATGCCTGTACAATAGTTGTCAATGTTTTCTTCGATAGACTGATACTTTTTGTTTCTTTGCGAAAGAGTTTCGTGCCTTTATAGATAAGAAAGCCAATTTCTACATTCGATTTTTAATACTTTCACAACCATTATCGGCTAATGCGTTCTATGTACGTTTTATGGTCCGAATAATAAAATGGCATCATAAAAAAGGAATATTGTTCCTGTACATGCATCAGTATACATACGTATAAAAAACGTTATGGACGCGTAGCTATCGGACTGATAACTGATTGGATACAAACTAAAAGGAACTGGTTGTTCTCTTATTTGTAACCAATTTTTGTATCAGTAATCTTTACATGCGTCAAAAANTGTGTGTTAGTAGTTTTAGATGTGACAGTTGCAGGAGACGACGCCGAATCGGTTTGTTCGAGTGCTGAACGTGAAGGAGACGCCTTCCCAAAAGCGTTCGAAAGAGAACTAGTCACACCTGTAAATATAGAATCTGGTGATAAGTTTGTATAAAGAGCAACAGGCAGTTATAGAGATGGGGCTGCAACGTAGAGAAGTAAATATTAGGAAGGGAGTTAGGCAGGGATGCACACTGTCACCGCTACTTTTTAATCTATACATCGAAGACGCCATCAACATCATTAAAGACAGTACAACTGTTGAACTAATTGCTTTTAGAACCCCACAAACCAAAAGTAGTATGTGAATAGGGGTGTAAAAGGCAGTAATAACCTTATACAACACTACGAAAGTGTTTTCCGGTGTGGGCAAAAAGTGGAACCGAAAGTGGTGGAAGTCAAACATTAGTATTTGTTTTTATTCCTTAAACTTTTAATTGTTTCTATATTACATCCAAGTACGGGTAATCTATCGCCACCTAGTGGGTATTTGCTGCTACTGAAGTATTTCAAGCGTTAGATTTAATACGTGATAAGTACGGTGCGCAAATCATTTTAATAAGCACTTATTCATTTTGATATTTACTCGAGTTGTAAATGTAGTTAAGTAATTAAAAAAGAAATGCAATTTAAATTATTATTGTTTTCGAAATACATATTATTTTTTTAATTTCTATTAAAAAGGCTACTGGGATAGCCTTCTAAAAATGCTCGTTTGCATGATCTTTTGTTTCAATTGCAATTATAACCTTTTAAAGAAACAATTTTAAAATAAATTATGTAATTAATAAATGCCTTATGGTAAGGTATCTGAATGTAAGTAGCACGTAATGAATACAAACTTGCGCATTATTTTACATCAAACTTTAAATGAAGGCATAAATTAATATAAAAGCATTAACAATCATACCATTTATAAAAGAAGTTCCACAAATATTACTATTATCCTTTTTATTTGTAAATACATTACGCATATTAAGTTTTTCGTTCAACAATATTTCGAAGGAAATCTTTCTACTATTGTTCGGTGTTTAGATAAAATACTTTAATTAGTATTTTTATCTTTTACGTTTCTGTCGCTTTGTTATATTAATGAACAAATGTCAATCAGGATAAACATTGCATTAAACTACGGAAAATTTAATACATATTTCTGTTGTTTGTAAGTAAACAAATATTCTGTGCATTCTAAATTAACAGGTATTGTTTCTCAAGGTCTTTGCCAAAATATATGGTATTTTAGAATTCGTTAAAATAATTAAAAATAGATATAAATAACTTTAAAAATTAAAGTTATATTGAATGCATTTCACACTACGGGATTGTTACATTAAAAAAAATCAATAGAAACAGATAGGTAGATATACGAGGGTGGATACAATGATTCAATATCGGCAGATTGCAAAACGCGAAATAAAGTATCTCAAAAACAAAAAGTTCTTGCTTTTCAATCACATTTTGGTATTGTGAAGATATTTAATATTTAGAAAGAAGTAATTAAAACAAAATAGAAACTTAAAAGAATTAAAATAGTTAATGAAATTTTAAGAAATGTTAGTTGTGGCCGCGGTGTAGCTTTTGGATTGGCACCCGGGGTAGTTTTCTATTGAGCTCCCATACCTTATTCCAAAATAAGACATTTTGCTGAAATACTCAATTACATTATCAAAGTTTACTTTCTTTTTCATTGGGCAAAAGGGAAAGGTTGGGTTGACTCATTGTAAATAAGTAGCAAAAATTGTAGAAACAGTTTATAATAGTCGAACTTTGCAATTAATCTCTGAAGTTTTAGAGTAATCCATTGGAGAACCACTTAGTGCTGATCTTTCAATTAGCGCCGCAGTCGTAAAATCACCAAAATAATGTCCTCTCTAGAAAATTCACTATAAATTTTTGTCAAATGATTCATGATTAGGGTTGCAAATTGTTCACAAAAGTGAATTTCGACCACTCAAAGCAAAGATGTTAACAGTTTCGAGCTCACAGTGACTGATAGGGGGGAAGAACTTGTATTATATATAAAA